CTGGGTTGCGCTCTCGCCATGCAGCTCTTTCAGTATTCTCTAGTTAGAAGCGAGGGGGAAATTTAACCTGTGCCAGAGAAGTTCGTAAGCAAGGCAAATCCCAGTCTCCTGCTCAACCAGACCAAAGCATAAGCAAAAACTCTTTGAGAAAAAAAAGAGAGTAGGAAACCTGGCATTTGCTTTGAGATCGTTTCCTTGAATTTGTCGGAACAAGGGAGCGGACTTTGTTCCCTCACCATGCACCTGACAAAGAAGAAAAAATCGATCTCGTGCCGAGGAATGATCCAAAAAGAACCTTTTCGAAGGGTTGACACTCACGAACGTCAATAAGAACAGCGTCACCGCTCTTCATCATCTTGTATGCTTCATCGCAATCGAGGCTCACCAGATTTCTCTCTGTTAGCTTTCGATGAATTTCTACAAAAGAAAGACATAGAACAAGAGAATCAATCGCTCGAAATTTCATAGCACTCACCAATCCAAGCAGTGTACTTGAATGCGTCGTCAAACAGGGATCCAACGTAGCCATTCCGGGCGGCGACATCGGCCTTGAGCTTGTTGAGCTTGGCCTCCATCGTGTTTTGCGACACGAATTTGTCGTAGAACCATCCCCGGCTGCTACTGACCTTGTTCGCCACGGGATCGCCATCGCGATCGCTTGCCCTAGCGCGTGTCCCCAAAACCTGATTTCGAGAAGGAAGAACTAGCGCTCGACTAGAAGAAAGCAATGGAGCCATTCATTTCACTCACTGGCGGAATATGCTAATTTTGAAAAATCTTCCAACAGAATATACTATTGTGGCGTGCTGGCAGAATATGCTGCAGACTTGACGGAATGTGTGTTAAGCTTATGGGGTAGAACCCTAAACATTCTCTTCGGGAAAAATGGCGGGATAGAGGAGCTGCGCAGCGACGCGCCTTGGATCGGCTGAAATATCCAAGATCATCCGCGGCGATGAGGTTTCCATCGCTTGTCTTGCTCGTGTTGTGCGGCATTTTGGCGCAGGGGCAACGCGACGACAACGGCGGCCACAGGTGCTTCCCAGCGATCTTCGGCTTTGGCGACGATTGGGGCGATGTCGGGAACCTCCAGGCGCTGTATCCGGCGGATCTTGAGAAGCTGGAGGACGAGGCGCCCTACGGGATGTCCTACTTCAAGAAGCCCGCGCGGCGGCTCTCGGATGGGCGCTTGATGCTGGATTTCGTCGGTAATATCGCTCTCCTTGCCCATTCTTGCTCGAATCTCATCTTCTTTTGGGCGATCCGCAGCTCAGGCGCTGGGAATGCCCCTTCTTTCGTCCTACGCTGTGGGGGTTGTTTCGAATTTGCAGCACGGCATCAGCTTTGCCGTTGCCGGGAGCACTGCGAGCTCGATTGGTTTGCAGCAGAACCCGTATCATCTCATGATTCAGATCCAGTGGCTCCAGAAGCTCGAGTCGGACGTGAGAGATGCTCTTGGGAATCAATCTCTTGGTAACTTGGCTCTTCCTTTTTGTTTCTACTTGCTTTTTCACTCCCGATTTTTTCCAGCTAAGACCACCGAGACTTTGCCTAACGAGCAGTCGTTCCAGGAGGGTCTCTACATGATTTCTACCGGGCAGAACGACTACAGATACGCATTCTTCCGCGATAACAGAACGGTTCGTGAAGTGGAGCGCACTGTAATCCCCTACGTCGTGGAGAACATCACAGCCACTGTTTTGGTAAGTTTTCCTCTAGACTGGCGTGTTTAACTTCACCAATTTTCCTCGTATAGTTCCTCTCGACGACTTTCAGAGCGGCCAACTTCATGGTCTTCAATCTTCCACCTCTGGGATGCTCGCCCGAGTTCCTGACCAGCTTTGCCAGCACGGATCCCAATGACTACGACACCATGGGCTGCCTCATCGACTACAACCGGATCACAGTTCTTCACAACGAGCGTCTCAGGGTCACCTTAGACGTGCTGCGAGCCAGCTTTCGGGACTCCGTCCGGAGGCTCATCTACGTCGACATGGCCGCCATGGTGACTGGCGTCGTATACGATCCTGAATCCAGAGGTATGTCCTTCCAGTCTTGCTTATTTCTCTTCTCTAGTTACGAAGCGTTCCTGCTTTGCTTCCAGGCTTTCAGAACGGACTAGAAGCTTGTTGTGGGACTGGAAAGCCATACAACTACGATCCGCGATGTTCCTGTGTAACGCAGCGAGTGATCCGCGGCAGGAACTTGACCGCTCGTGCCTGTTCTAATCCGAGCACTACGTGAGCTGG